CCAAAATAGACATGAGTTTGCTTCAAGTGGTCATAATGTTCCTTTTACTAGTGCTGGATATTCCTCCTCTTATCACAGACCCACAGTTGTAACTAATGGTTATGTTTCTGAAACAGGCTATAGACCACGTGTGCATTCATTACCTCAATCCCAAAATCCATTTGTTCGGATACGTAGACCATATTCTCAGCGTGCACAAAATATTCCTAATGAACATTATTTTTCTGATGGTGGAGTGATTAATGGAAGAAGGCGTTCATCAGGTTATTCTGAACCAGTTTATGTGGAACCTGTTCCATGTTCTATGTGTGGTGGTACAGGGGAACATAATCATGCTGATATAGGTGAAGAATCACTAATAGCTGATAAATATAGACATTCATCATCAAGGTATATTTGAAGACTTTTGATAAAATGGTTTCCTAATTGAACTATGCAAGCTGTCATCAGTATACATTCTATTGCTTCTAAGACTTTGAAGTTAATCAATGATTTTTTCTGCGACCATGGATACTTGTAAATGTTTTTCAGTTTGGAAAATTAATTTTATGTAGCGCAGCATTGGATGTTAAAATCATATTAATATCTCAAAGGTTGTCAAATATTTTATATTCTTCTTCATTTCAACAGAAAATATTGCAAAATTGGTATGTTTGTTTTCTAGATCACCATCTAGAAGAAGAAGTAGCAGTATAAAAAGAAGAAGATCTAGATCTGTACCTAGATTAAGACCATATGAATCTAGAAGAAGCTCTAGTTATTCTAGAAATTATACTGATATGTCTAGTGCTGAATCTGATGATTCTGAAGTATTTACTCCAAGAAGGTCAGTTGATTTCAAACCTGTATCTTGTGTGCATTTGTAAAAGAATTATTATCAAAGTTCTACAGCTTGCCAGTCTTAAAGTAACCTTCTTTCTGCTGTGGCTATTTTGTCCTCACTGTTCAATGCTTTTTATTGAAATGTTGTTGATATGTTGTAGAAGTAGAAGTTTATCAAGAGGAAGAAGATACAGGTTTACTAGAAGATACAGTGAGGATGAGGTATGTATTTACTGTTAATACACAGCTTCATTTCTTTTATGATACTCAAACACTGTTATAATAAAAATCTAGTTTTTAGTTGGATTTTTTCATATTTGTCACATTTTTCTGAAAGGGATTTTAAAGAGGTCTTTCTAAATTGTATGTGTATCAGGGACACTGATAGCACCATTCCAATTTTGGATCAGACGCCTGTGGTTCCTGCATATCTTGTTGTTTTTATATTTTTCAGTACTCAGACTCTGACAACAGTGTAGATTTAAACGATTCCTTGACACTTTCTGAAGATATAAAAAAACTGACACGGAAAATGACGAAGGAAGTTAAAGGAGAATTAAAAAAGTATCGACGAAAGAGAGACCTAGGTTACTCAGATTGGTGATCAAATTAATATCAGAAATTTCAATGTGCTAAAGTTTATGGTGTTAATGGCATGGTGATATCATGTACAGATTCAATTTGATTATTCATTGCATAATAATCTGTAGAGAAAAATTTATTATTAAACTGTTGAAAAGAGACATTTGTTAATGTTTTTGATTATGTTTACTCTTAAGAACGTTCTATAATTTATATTTAAATTAAAAGTGTATACAGGGACCAAACAACAGTAATTTGAATTGTAAATGTTATTTACTGTTTTGGTAACAGTGATGTATATTGTATATGATCATCTTTAATTATAATAATTTATTCATATATTGTATACAATAATAGAGAAATATGTCACTTATATTGATATAATTGCTTTACTAGTTTGGAAGACCTCAATTTCAGATACCCACCTTATGTTCTGGTTCAATTACCTTGGACTTTCCTCACTTTCAGAAAATAACATTCTGACAGGCAATAATGACTGATAACATCTCAATTTTTGTAATATATGCATGTGAGAATATGAATATCACCTCCAAGTGATGATTGCTTAGATAACTATGTAATGTTTCCAATGAATTGAAGAAGAACCTTGGGAAGGATTATTTTCAGAAAAGTTGTAAGGTAAGGTGAAACTAAGACTTATAATCTGGTAAAGCAAATATTTGAAGGTCAAATTCCCTTTACAAGTTATTTGTAATTATATATCATATATTTTATCATATAAGTAATATATTGTATATATATATACACCTGTTTTTAATATAGCTACATCAATTGTATATAGTAAGTTAAATTGTAAATATATATATATTCTCTCCAAAGTATTTTAGTATTATCTGTGATATCATTTTTTGTACATTTTTTACACAATTGTATATTAAATTTTTTAAAACTGAGACTGGTTCATGTTTAAGCAGCCAAATGATTATCATAGTTTGAATTTTGTTATTTTCTTTTTTATACGACAGTTTCAAGAAAAAAAATGTCAAGATAGATATTTGCTAGAGAAAAATTTAAACTAAGATTTCTTGCATGAATGAATGAAGCTCTATCTCAGATATGAACATGGAATCAAAATATACCAAATATTACTTACTGACTGATGATATGCAAATCTTGTAAATTGTATGTAAAGCATAATAGTTGAATTAGGATAGAAAAACACTTAAGTTGATTGGAATACAGCAGAAAGTTTAAATCATCCAGTCCCTATTGACATTGACAGAAAGAAATTCTGTATATGCCTACAAGCAAAGAATGTGTAAACTTAGGCTATTTTGTTATTATCTTTTCAACATATTTCAACATATTCCAGTATTTGACTTTTGTGATAAAATAATTTGTCTCATATTATAACATTCCGTCCATTCCATCTAGTATTATTTTCTACAATTTATTGTATTTCATTCCAATATCATCAGTATTGTATGTACATGAACATTTTATTTTGTAATAGTATCAATACTTATACAGATTTTGAAAGTCAATGCGATGTCCGTAAGTAATCTTAAGTAAATTGCCAGCCAGCAATTTTTTTGCGGAATTCAGTCAAACTGCATTCAGAAATATAGAATATGTTAAAGTATTAAAAATGGAAAAGCCAAATTTTTTTTATCTTCTGTGTTTTATCATGTGTTATATAGTCACTATTATATTTGTCTATTTTACCTAAACATTTATCTAAGCATGTTTGTTATTATTCTTTAAGGTATAAAAAGATACCAAAATATGCATTTAATATAACTATATTCCTATTTATTTATTCTTCAATATCAAAAATACCCTGTTACCTCTTTCCTTGATATTTCTCATCTGTAGTCAATTATCTTATGTTGCCACTTATAATCTTAATAATCCCCTATGATATTCTTGTAAATGTATCAATTGATAAAATGACTAATTTCAATATTATGCAATAAAAAATGAAATAATTTAGATATATTGTGATTAAATTTATTTGTCAATATTTTTAATGACCCCAAAAGCTTCGACTGTATTAGCTCCACTGTGAAAAGCCTTGAATTTTCATGATATCTTGGATAATATTTTAATGATTTACAGTGAAAGTTTGTCAGGTGTTATGGAGCTGTGGAGCTATGATAATTGAGATATCTGTGGAGATACTTTAAGTTTTATAAGTTATAATAACTGAGATATCTTCTGAGGAATTTACTACATATTCAATCAGTAATGATAACTGAGATATCTGTTGAGTTACTATAAGTTTTATAAGTTTTTATAACTGAGATTTCTGAGGAGTGTACTACAACTTTAATCATTAGTTATCTGAGAAGATATGATAAATGAGATATCTGTGGAGGTTACTATACGTTTTATATGTTTTAATAACTGAGATATCTGTGGACCTATGATAAATGAGACATCTGTGGAGGTTACTATCTATAAGTTTTATAAGTTATGATAAATGAGATATTTGTGGAGGTTACTATAAGTTTTATAAGTTATGATAACTAAGATATCTGTGGAGGTTACTACAAGGTTTATAAGTTATGATAACTGAGATATCTGTGGAGCTATGGTAAATGAGATATCTGTGGGGTTTACTATAAGTTTTATAAGTTATGATAACTGAGATATCAGTGAAGCTATGGTAAATGAGATATCCGTGGGGGTTACTGTAGGCTTTATAAGTTATGATAAATGAGATATCTGAAGAGTTTACTACAACTTAAAGCAGGTAGGATGACTGAGATGTCTTGAGAGTTAACTATACGTTTGATCAGTTATGATAACACAGATTTCATGTATTACTAAGTATACTCACAACATAACAAGTATTACCTGCACCAATGTAAGATATACAAGTGTGCTACCAAGTATTGTCTAGGCATCTGGTGATTCCTTGCACGCACAAAAGTAGAATAGTGAAAATTTGATGCCACAAAAAGTAACATGGTAATCATATAATACCATGTAAGTTCGGAAAACAAAGATGATCATAATGTGACACAGTCAATTCTTTGAGGTAAGGTGGTCGTCATTCAATACCAATTAAGGGTATAATAGTCGGGTAATACCAAATATTGTGTAACGGCAAGATGGTCATTATAAGAACAGGTCCTTCCAAATAAGAACAAGAAGGTCATCTATCTACACTAAGTAGGACGAATTGTCTTCAGGTCAAGATGGCCATGTATAGACCTACGCTAATTATAAGTAATGCCTGGATATTTTACCAGATATTAAACCTTTAACGAACGAATTAAGTATAACTCAGGTCATTGCTCTACATGTCCAATACCGATACCTTCCGGAAATTCACGCCTGTTGTTCTTGCTTTAAATTACTCAAATTACAGAGGTAAACTATATCAGTTAACACATTTATATAGGATAATGTGTGTTGGAATAGAATACTGGAATTACTCCTGGCTTTAACAGTACTTCATTGTCAACATCTCCCGCCATGTGACGTCATCAATATAGTGAGAGACTGTTACTGTTTTAACAGATAGTTCATTCAGTTATGGAGTATGACAGTGAACTACATGGTTGGAATTTGTGGTTCCATGAAATTCAATGCTTATGTATCAATGACATTTATAAGTCTTGTGGATAATGGGTCATCGGTCTAGTAAACTCACCAATTCTGAGCTAGATGATTTAACTGCATGCACTAATTGTGAGTAATTTTTACAGAAATCTTCTTTGAACTGTGTTACAATGTTTCCAATAGGTTAATGGACTATTTAGGAGTCTAACTTATTGGTCCTAATGGAATTGACCATACTTCAGGCAAGTCATCAATGGCTTTAGTGTTGTTTTCAAGTCAACTGTGACATATTGAATGTATTTTACAATATGTTATAAAAATATTGTATAATAGACCAACTGTGATATATGAATGCGGAATATGAAAACCTACTGGGTATTATTGATTTAATCATTAGTGATATACCAGAGTAAATTAGATTTCCTTTAATAACTCATAGCTAAAATTGGAAATATATTAGTTTCTTATAGAACTACAAGAAGCAAAGAGATTATTATTTGAGGTACTAAAGTTGATAGACTTATATTTCTCTACTGAATTGAAATATATGTTTTACTATCAATTTTAACAACAATGTTAAAAAATGAAATTGCCAGCAAAACCAATAACTTTTTTTTACTCATATATGAAATCTAACACACTACACTATTACAAATCTTGTTTTAAAATTGATGTTTCCAATTTTTCACATTTAAGGGAAGAACTTTAACAAAAATCTTTTCTTGTGATTTATTCTTAGTCATACCTGGAAGACTACCAGTATGGCCTACAAAGAAAACATTTCAAACAAATTTTTCTGTGGAAACATGGCCATTTCTCAGTCAGATGTTTCAAGAACATTATGACAATGATGCACATTTTTTCCATGATAGATTTCTTGATGACCCCTGAGTAGGCTTAGTCTAAAATTGGTTGGTAAAATGTAGGCAACTTTAAATAGATACTTTAAATCTATAAGAATGTATTTGAGCCTGTTAGAGCTCAACTTCAGAAGAAATCTCAGCTTTCAGAATAAATAAATTACTTTACATTTAAATAAAACCTAAGTTTCCAGATAGTGACTGGTTCTGTCTGTATTAAAAACTAGCGGTTTTCACTTTGTGAAGCTCTTTCAAGCTCTATCAACTGTCTATCTATTACTACTTATGAAACTTTTTAGGCAATTACTTCTCCTTAAAATGAATTTAAATCAAAGAAATTTTAATGAGAAAAAAACAAGATCCAATTAACTTTTAACCATTAAACAGTCAGGGTGAACAGCCTATGGGCCTGACTAGAATAGAGAAGAAACCTTGTATTCTCAATAGAATTTTGGCAAACCTGTAGTATTAAAATCACTTTCTTTTTACTCAGTCTAGAACTGTTGGGTAGATTCATTAGAAGATATAAAGTATTATGATAATAAGGAATAAAAAATGTCTATTCTGATTGATGGTGCTATTAGTAAAACTCACTGTTTTACATAATTAATACCATACTTCAGGCAGTCATTTTGTTGGCTTCAGTTCACAAGTTAATGCTCATACATACATGTATATTAAATTATACCTTTGTGGATGGCTCAGGTTTCAAAGTAATCAAGATAATCAATGTATAGAAATAGTCCACAAATTTCAATATTATAAAGAAAATGAAAAAAAGTTGTATAAACTTTGCTAACTATAATCATTAAAGATGGGTTCCCTTATTTTCATTTATAAAAGTGAAAATGCTAATGGATAGAAAGTAGAGGTATTCTAATGACTTTGAAAAATACCAGTTTGTCTCACATGTCCATAATTAATTCATAATTAGCTAAATTAGAAGAGAATTGCCAGCAGAATTTCAATGAGGGACCAATCAATAAAAGTCAAAAAGTCTTTTTTTGTTTATCCAGACTGTACATACATGAGCTTTTAAGATTGGTTAAAACTCTTAATTATATGCAATAAGAACATAAAGATATAATTAAGAATACATGATAATTCATTAAAAACACCAATTTGTCAAATATTTTGCTTAATTTGACACTAAAAATATAAGGACACCTATGAAGACCCTTCTGGCCAAAGTTTTGTCTTTTAAATGGCTTAAACAGGAAGACTTCAAACTTCCTTTAGGAAATTTTTTGGATGAAAATTCCAAATCTGTTTCTTACATCATGGCTGATTTGTTTTTGTCTGGTGTAGATTGATCTAGTTGTATCTCATGATGTTGACCTAAAAAGTAGTCGAGCGTAGAAAGCAGACCAATTTTACTCTTTTCCAAACATCTGATGGTACTTCTCTTTAGAGGGGTCCACTTATATACAACCTGTACTCTCGATTTTGCAAGAGATTTGGACGATATTTTGATTAACGGAATGTCATGCTTATTCAGATTTTATTAAGCAACATTTTTTGACAATCACTACTGGGTATTCTAATAACATTTGGAGGAGTGGCTCTCCTTTAACACCTGGTGCTTCTGATATTCAACTTTGCTTTGGAGCTTTATGATTTTTAAATATTGTAATCTGAATTTTTCAAACATGTCTGCTTTTCTTACAAATTGCAATAATTGAAGGCTGTTAACTACTAGTATTTACCTTTTCATCAAAAGCAATGATGTATTGATTATATTAAGCAGTTCTATAATTGATCAATTAAATTATATTTTTCATTTTAGTTCAAAGAAAGGAATTACAACAGTGGTAAGTTAAGATAAGTCTTTGATTCTTGTTTCACCTTCAAATTCATCATGTTATTAAGCCCTAATTCAAAATCAATTGCTAAAAATAAATAAAATCTTTGTTAAAGGGATTGTACAGACTTCATTTGCACCATTGCAATATTCAATCAGACATCTGTGGTTCCTGCAATTCCACTTAAACTATGCGTTTGATGACGTCACTAATTTTGAAGGGCTTTATGTGATACAAGCATACTTTGCGATTAGTGACGTCATAATTTATAGTTCTATGATCAAACACATATTTTTTGTGGTATTGCAGGAACCACAGACGTTTGACTGAAAATTGGAATGGTGTATCCATGATACAAATAAAAAATTTCAAAAAAAAAAAACGCTTTACAATCCCTGGAAGTAAAATATAAGATGAAAGATTTTTAACCATGTGTAACTTAGATTGAGATTTCATGGGTTACTTAATGTCAATGTTTTCATAATAAACAGTATGATATTATACTATTGTTTGTAGGTATAAAGATTTTATGAAGGATTGTCCTAATGGAGTTTTGAATATTGAGGTGAGCTATCATTTATTGTCAAGAAAGAAGTAGTTTGTTTGAGGTACACCATGGATGATAACCTCCTCTTGAGACAGAGGCAGTTACCCATCCTTAATTCAGAGATAGTGGGTTTGATTTTTGCACATTGCACATCAACATATTCGTGAATTTGATACTTTCTGTTACATCCATAAACAATTTAAATGTTATGCCCTGAAAGGCACACTAATGATTTAAACTCAATACAGAATACTAATACAGATTAGTAGGGTTTTACTGTCAAAAAGTTAATTTTAGTTGGAACATTTATCTTGAATGACCATATATTGATTCATTTGAATATATCCAGATACTCCTATTTCTTTTCTTACTGAAGCAAGAATTTGCAACCACTTATATCTTTTAATAACTTTTTGCTACTCTATTAAATATGACAGGGGCTGAGCCTAGTCCTATAATTCATCATGGTATAATTAATGAAATTATATACTATTCTAGCTCAATTCTAGTTCTACAGCTGATAATGAATCCTATCTGTACACTCATATCATATCAATGATTACTTGATACTCTGTAAGAATATTTGAAAAGAGAGAGTTGACATGAGATGAGAGGGGTTGACAAGAAGTGTTATCCTATCTATCATCTGTCAGACTGAGATAAGGCAGAGATTCTAAATTACTCCTAGTCTATACCAGTACATCATCACTATTGATTTTTAGTTCTTAATTCAGATGACACAGTGTCTACCAAATACCAACTATCTGAAAATATCTTTGAAAATTAAATTTTTTACTACTAAGAAATACCCTTTATTTGTGTATATTTTGTATCCCTTTGCCTAACAAACAAAAACGAAAGCTTTAGAGTGGAAAAGGCCAATGGATTTCGCACCGTGATATCTGAATCATACGCTGATTATTCTGTAGTTATTGAAAATATTGAAGAGGATCCCCATGTATCCCCTAAAGTCAAGGCTGTATGGCAAATGTGGCAAATGTCTTATTTTAGGCAAACATTAGAATTCTGTTTTAATTTTCAATTCATGTTAATGTCATTTAAATCCAACCAAACCCGGCTCTTTGTCTCATTTTGGATTGGATTGTTATGGCTTTTGAAGGGTTATCTGGTGTCCGTAAGTGGGAATAAGCATCTGGAACGATTTCAACTGTTTATCTTCTGTTAAGAATTGCTGGTCTGAGTTGAGATTGCTATCTGATATTTATTCTACTGTAATCTATATCAGTTCTCCAAATAATATCAGGTTTTAATATTTAATATGTCATAATGATTTCCACTGTGTATTTAAATCATGTCTTGTTATTAATTCTGACTTGGCGAGAGAGAGTTTTCAATGAGAAGATAATAGATATATAGAATAACATCTATAGAAATAATAATGATAATGGAAAAATGATAATCAAAATCATTATATCATAATGTCATATGATATATCTCGTAATATCCTAATGAAAATAGGATGAAAAAAAGGCAGTTACAATATGTGGAGTCAAAAGAATTGCTAGGGAGACAATAGTCGAGTCTTATTGAACAGCAGCTACAGTGTAGTTTGTATGGGTGCTGCTCTTCTATAAAGAAGATGTTTTTCAAGAGGTACTTCAAAGATTGTACTGTTGCGTCAGTTAGAGAAAGTTTTGATATTTGCACTATGTATATCAACACATGCCTCTGAAATAATCTTAATGTGAAAAACTTATATGTTTAATTTAAAAAAGCCTTTTGCTGGATGAGATCCGGTTGGTTTTTTGCTTTAACAGATGCTTGCTATAGACAACAGAATCACTCTTCCACTCCATGAGGATTCGACATAGCAAAGTTTCATGATGACAAGGAGAATTTGGGTTGAAAAATTTGAAGTTGATGTCTCATCTGGGTTTGAATAAAGCATCTGAATCTTTTCTTCAAAATCTGTGAGCCAGGATCTCCTTTTTTAAATCTTTGAGCAACAGAAATAGATATAGTTATGTGTTTCCAATAAATATTATCTATTGTCTTTATTATCAGATAAATTGTAGTTTAAAAATAGAATGTTGATAGATGATTGTTTTTAAGTGTATCAAAATTAATAATTGATTGTAATAAACTGGTTTTACGAGTAAACTCTTCTATAATATATAATAAAACATCTATTTTTACATCACCAAAGCCATTGTCTGTAATAGAAAATGCCAGAGTTCATGTGCTGACATAATTTACCAGTACATTTTGTTTCTTACTGGGAAGGTTTAGAAAAGTATTTGTTATTTATTAGCCTATTGTTGATTGACTCATGGACTTAAGTGGGTTGGGGCCGCTCTTTCCCCTGGAAATTTTTTTTGATAAAATATGCTTTACTGCATTTTTTATGGGGATGGGGGTCCATGGACTTGGTTCAACTAGTCCTTGCTGTAGTAGTGCCACTGGTGTTGATGAGAACCTCTTAGGTACTATTTGTTGATTTTGGTGTAAAGGGATTCTACAGAAGATTTCTAAAATTTATTACATCATGCCAATTTACTGTCTGTGGTTCTTGTAATTATAGAAATGCTTAACCATATATTATGTCATTGTAGCAAAAGTTGGGACTAAATTGCTTATTAGATGCTTCAGCGATAGTGATGTCATAATATACTTGAGTAAAAATACATAGTAATATTTATTATAATACTCTAGAAGATGATGTAATATTTATGATAATATACTAGAAGATGATGTAATATTTATGATAATTTATTAGAATATAGAGCAATAATATGATAATTTAATACATACATAATAATGATATATTTATAATAGATCAACATACGAAAATACAAATGAAAAAATCAATATTGTTGAATGACAAAATGATTCTGTTATCATAATATTATCACAAATTTGTAAAAAAACAGTCATGATATTTTTTTGACATATCGTCAGTGAAGTTCCAAAGGAAATCGATAGGAAATGAAATGATACATTATAAGGCTTGTATGAGTTTTTGAATAAAAAAAAAATATGACGATATACACATTAAAGCAAAACAGTTTTCAGTTGGAATCCAATTTTGGATTGAGAACACAGTTGTATTTTGAGTTCGTTTGCATTATAAGCCAAAGGGAATTTTGAGTATAGCCTATCAAAAATATGATTGTATATTATTTTAACTTTTGAAAAGCTGTTAATGAGTGAATACATTGGCTACTATTTGTATCACATCTTGTTAAAGGTGTTTGTCATGGTATGGGGGATAAAAGTTTTTGAAAATGTTGATTCAAAATGATTTTAAATTCACACTTTAGCAGACCTTGATCTGATAAACTTAGCTTGTGGAGATTGATCAAACCAAACATTCTTATCTGGTCCATACTTAGATTCATAGGCTTTTGTCATTCTGCTCATACGTTCTACAATATCATCCATTTCCTTTTGATTGACCCTTTGAATTCCCATATACCGCCTCTCTAAGCCTGGAACTACTATTCTAGTTTTCTGTGGTTTTGGGGTGATGTAAGTAAAATCTTTGTTCCTCAAGTCTACACCACCACGACTGGCAACAGTAGGCCTTGTAATACGGTTTACTATATGATCTAGTTCTTCTGAGTTGACACTTTTGGTTGTTACAAATAATGGAGAGTTTCTGCCATAGTTGCTTGAAGATCTGGAACAACTTTTTGATCTAGAGGTACCACTGCTAGCATTACTGCTGTAGGAGGTTGGTCGTCTGTTCCTATCATTAGATTTTGATCTTTCCATTATTTTCTTTTTGGGTTTTTGTTTTCCTAGCTCTGAAATAATTGAATAAGATAGATAATGATTAGGTTTACACTAATATTAGAACGTGTTACTAGATAAAACCAGAAACATAATTACAGACCAGACATGACTAGAAACTCAATTATTTTTACGTGCTTCGTGGTCTGCAAAATTCTTATCGATTCTGACATCAATTTCAATAAATCTGATAAAGATTTTGATACAATTATTGTTTCTCATTTATTTTTTGTTGTATCATGGTTCATGCTTCTAGAAAACCTCCCAAATATTCAACCAATATAGCATGCATAAGAGCAAACTCAAACTGAAGTTTCCAATCATGACCAAGATTTTAAACCATTTTGGGCATTATTTTGATCTTTTCTAGTTGGAAAGTATATAAAGCATAATGGTTCAAAATGTTCTATCCTTGATGGAATTAAAAAAAAAAAGAGTCAATTTACCACTTGATTTTTTAAACTGAATAAACTCTACAGAGGTTTTGGCCAACTGAAACTATCACCCTTTTTAAAACTATGTTTTTTTTCCCTTATTTATAAAGAAATAGTTGTTTGTTAAAGTAGTTTTGTACACCAATAAATGGTTTTTTTTAATAAGTACTTACTGTTGCACATTTTTAAATGTTTTTACCATATATTCAAATTTACACAAATATGTCTAAAACAGTTTACAAATATATCCTAAACAGTTATAGAATTGGTTAACTTCTGATGAAAGTTAGTCCTAAATGATTTGGTCATGTGCTGAATAATGATTGTATTGTGCAAAGGGATTAAAGTAGTATTTAAAGTATTATTTAATATATTTGTAAGATTTATATTATAGATAATCTATGATCTATGTATCTTTTAACCAGCTTTTACCTATGATATGTTACAACTTGTATGGTTAATTGATCCTTTTGACAATACTTCAAGGGATATAGCCCCTTAATTTTTCATTAAAGCTCTTCTCGCTACTATTTCAATATCATCTTGCACCATACCGTCATTTTTCACAAGATCTCAGCACTTTAAATTTGTTCAAGAATGGAATTTAACTTGAGAAAAATGCAAGTAACTAAAGTATTATATTATTTCTGGTTAAGATTTAATGATGACTCTGATATTTCTGTTTTCCAGGATGTTACATTGAAATACAATATCGAGAATTTACAATTTCTACGTGTTTTACCATAAGAATAGAGATGTCATTATTAAAAAATTATATTTCATCATCTTTGTAGGTTAAACTCTGTTTAATGCCCTGATGTATTGATTCGAAAGATCGGAATTGAAGAAAAAGTGATTAAGCCTAATTCTAAATCTGTATTCTTAAGATAAACGTGACCTTTATCTTAATTCCTAAATTTGAATTGATTTTACTGTAGATTTAATTAGTCTCTTATAAAAGACTTGAGTAAGTTGAACTGAAAGTCTACTTTAGATAAATATAGTTAGATCATTAACCCAATGAGATGTCTCATCAGACAATATCTACTAGACTGACAATGTGCCTCTATTTCAACCTCTAATAGCTATTTTGAAAGTTGTTGGCTAGTGTAGAGACAGCAAAACAAGGCCCTTTTTTATGGGGATTTCCTAAGGTGCAGGGGTTTTAAACCTATTTAATCAGCCATTTAAAAACTGCGGACAAAAGTTCCAGGTTCACAGAGTCACAGAGCCTAGTTTTTCTGACTCTACTCCAGTTTAACTTTCAAAATATCTAACAAAGGCTGGAATAGAGGCAGATGTTTTGGACTAAATCTCTACATGTTCAGAGATTATCTTGGTTCTAATCAGACAATGAATTGTGTAGAGGAGACAGAAGTTAACATGCCCTGATTTAACTCTCAAGAGAGGTTGAAGTTTCATCAATCAAGTCAAGTATTTCTTTTTGAACTAATTTAGACAAGAGTTCACAATATATTCAATATATGTACAACAAACAATTAGTTTTAAAACTAAACTATTTTCATTCATTTGGCAATCAAATTTTCAATTTTTTTTTAGAACACATTGCAAAAGCAAATTGGTCATTAACCATTGCATAAGATAATTTTGAAGAAATCTGTCCTTATAATAATGAGAATGTAGAGAATTTGGTTGAAACCTGTCATTACAAATTACAGTAGAGAATTTGGTTGAAACCTGTCATTACACATAACAGTAGAGAATTTGGTTGAAACCTGTCATTACACATTACAGTAGAGAATTTGGTTGAAAACTGTCATTACAAATTACAGTAGAGAATTTGGTTGAAACCTGTCATTACACATTACAGTAGAGAATTTGGTTGAAACCTGCCATTACACATTACAGTAGAGAATTTGGTTGAAACCTGTCATTACACATTACAGTAGAGAATTTGGTTGAAACCTGTCATTACACATTACAGTAGAGAATTTGGTTGAAACCTGTCATTACACATTACAGTAGAGAATTTGGTTGAAACCTGTCATTACACATTACAGTAGAGAATTTGGTTGAAACCTGTCATTACACATGACAGTAGAGAATTTGGTTGAAACCTGTCATTACACATTACAGTAGAGAATTTGGTTGAAACCTGTCATTACACATGACAATAGAGAATTTGGTTGAAACCTGTCATTACACATTACAGTAGAGAATTTGGTTGAAACCTGTCATTACACATGACAATAGAGAATTTGGTTGAAACCTGTCATTACACATTACAGTAGAGAATTTTTTTAAAAATCTTGTCATTTCAATTTGAAGTAGAGAATATTTTAAAAACCTAATCAAACTCGTCATTACATTTTGAAGTAGACAAATGTTATGAAATCTGTAACAAAGCATAGCATGTGGAGAATTTTGTCGAAACATGATTCAACTTCTTATGAATAATCCTATTTAAATGCATTAAATGCAATTTAAGAGGCAATTCTGATTTTTTCATGAAAACACAATCAATAGACAATCAATAAAATAGAAAATTTGGCTATAAAGGCATCAACATAAATTCTAGTTGATTTGTAATTTTAATGATAACATTCTTATGTTACAAAATATGCTATCTGAGAAATTTATAAAATACATTAGTTTATTTGTTCAGAAATCCATCTGCTGAAATTTGATTGATTTTTTAACTACTTTGACATTTAAAATATCTGACTGTTGAGAATTAGTATAGAATTTTGTAACTTGAAACACGATTTTTGCCATAGATTTAAAGTGTATTGTACTACAGTAGTGTTTATGTTTAAGATAATTTTGATAGTAGGTGGGGTGCGTTTTGTTATGAAAATGTGAAAATTAATTATTTTGTTCATTAAAAAAAAGTGTCATTTTGCATTTAATGATAATCAAAATTCCAAAATAATAATTTTCTTGAACTCTTTATCATCAGCAAACTTTGTTCTCTTTTGTTTATATGTAAAGTTAGTTCATTAAGGTAAAAAAAATCAATATGACTGTTTTTTAACATCAATTTAAGAGAGTAATAAGATGTTTAGGATTAAGATGGAATATTTGAAACCTTTTATTAGAATCATTATTTTACATCAGAAAAATCAATACAGTTCCATGTTATCTCTATTTTAATGGCTCTTTTGCTTAATGAAATTAAGTTTGAAACAATGTCTTAACATGGAGAACAGATGTCAAGTAGGCATTTAGATAGAAGTCTTATTTTGTCATGACATATTTTACATTTACTTTTAGTATTTTATAGTAATCCATGTTTCTAGTTTGTAAAGGGAAACAAATTTTGAAAATAAAATTTCTGTACCGAGTGGGCTAATGAAGATGGGCAATGCCATGCAGCATGCACACAGAACCTATTATCCCATGTGAGTGACTCTTGTCAGTCCATCCAACCTCCATCACTGACAGAAAGGAAAGCGATACAAACTTTTGGTAGTTGAAAAAGAGTGGTACAGAAATTCATTATTACTATAAATAGGATATCGCTTTCTACCTAAATTGTATTACCTGTCTTTAATCAAGTAATTTTGGAGAAATGAGAAACTGCCCCAAATATTTATGTTTAAATACCTACACTTAAATATTACTTTTTATATATTATCAATTCTAATGGCAACCTCTATATGTAAACTCTTTAGCTGAAGATCAAACAGGTCAAATTGCCTTCTGGTCCCAATATAAAGAGCTGGTGAATTTGAGTTACTTTCCTGGCAAAATGTTTTTCATTGAATACAGCCCATCTTCATTATCCATATCAGGTTCAGAAAAGTACACAAAATCATATTGAACACATGTGATTTCTTTGCATATAGATTGTTATCTAAAATCATGAGAAAATTTCATATCCTACCTTAGATAATAAGCTTCTGCTACTATCTAGTAATCCTTTAATATACTTTTATATATTTTCAGATATAAAAACTCTGGTCACTATGCCAATATAATACTGAGATTTAAATCAACAATTGATATATGTTATAAAATATTTAAAGATATAATATAATATGGTATTCACTCCTTAAATATTAAATATCATTTGGTATATAACTACTTGACTAAACATTGGACCCTTAATATACTCCCAAGTCATGACTGGCAGTTAAAATGAGTGTAAAATACACTATTTTATATAGTGTCAAATACAATCAAGTACAATTAACATCAATCAAATTACCTGTATTATTGAATGAACAGTGTGAGCTACTGTCACAAATCAAATTATGTTATTTTTAATTCTGAACTGTAAGTGTGATATACATTCTTTCAAGCAACAACTGTTATTCAAAGAAATGTAACCCATCATAAATCTTATGATACCTTTTTGCTATTTTTTGATAGTAGAGGTAAAGGCATATTCTTCTTACTTCTTATTAACCTACATGTGCATTTTTACATTGTTTTCCCCATTATGTTGAAAAAATATATGTCTCAAAATGAGATTTATTGTAAAGTTCTACAATAAATGATTTCTTTAAGACATGTTACTTATTTTTTTTAGGAATTTCAAACAATTTATCAGCAGTTTTTCCCACATGGAAATCCATGTAAATTTGCTGGTTATGTATTTAATGTGTTTGATAGAAATAAGGTATGTAACATGAGAAATAGTATTACCGATACATTAGATATTATTAATCCTGGGAAACTGTTGCTCAGAAGGCTATTAATCCACACAGCAGCAAACTGAATTGCAGCTCTAATCTTTTTTAAAGAGCATCTCTTAACATCCCTAGTTGACCCAAGCTGTAGATACAGTTTATCACATATTTATTTATGCCAAGAGCTAGATCAAGGACCCTCTGAAAGATAGGATCCTAGAAAACATTCAGTGTTAATCAAAATTGATGTTTCTCTCTTTCTCCATTGTAATGAATGATAAAACAACAGCAAGGCAAACTTTAAGTAAAATAGTCCAAGCCTGCACAAAATTCCAGATTTCTTTAATTAGATTCTGTTCTGTATATTTCCTAATGTAAAGCTATTACAAAGTTTATGATACTGTATCTTGACATTGTGAAGATGGATACCGTAATGACTAAATATATATGTCTTGTTGAAATATTATTATTTTCAGGATGGTTTAATATCATTCTCAGAGTTTATTTATGCCTTATCAGTTACTTCTAGAGGAAGTTTGGATGAAAAATTAGATTGTGAGTATAGATTTAATCACATAAATATTGTATTAAATGGACAAATAATTTGTCATCAGATCTTGTCAAGTGATATAAAACTACAAAATAAATTTCACCTATGCCACTTTGCCTTCAAGATAAATGGAGTAATTTGCTTTTGGTTGTCTGCTATTTAATACTTTTCCAAAATAATGTCATCTTCAGTTACCTAATGATTTAAATTACTATGTCATATGATGTAGATAATGATGGTTAATTTTATAGGCGATGTAGATAATGATGGTTAATTTCATGGGTCTTCATGTTATATGATGTAGATATTGATGGTTAATTTCACGGGTCTTCATGTTATATGATGTAAATATTGATGGTTAATTTCATGGGTCTTCATGTTATATGATGTAAATATTGATGGTTAATTTCATGGGCCTTCATGTTATATGATGTAGATATTGATGGTTAATTTCATGGGTCTTCATGTTATATGATGTAAATATTGATGGTTAATTTCATGGGCCTTCATGTTATATGATGTAGATATTGATGGTTAATTTCATGGGTCTTCATGTTATATGATGTAGATATTGATGGTTAATTTCACGGGTCTTCATGTTATATGATGTAAATATTGATGGTTAATTTCATGGGTCTTCATGTTATATGATGTAAATAATGATGGTTAATTTCACGGGTCTTCATGTTATATGATGTAGATAATGATGGTTAATTTTATAGGCGATGTAGATATTGATGGTTAATTTCACGGGTCTTCATGTTATATGATGTAGATATTGATGGTTAATTTTATGGGTCTTATGTTATATGATGTAGATAATGATGGTTAATTTTATAGGCGATGTAGATATTGATGGTTAATTTCATGGGTCTTCATGTTATATGATGTAGATATTGATGGTTAATTTCATGGGTCTTCATGTTATATGATGTAGATATTGATGGTTAATTTTATGGGTCTTATGTTATATGATGTAGATAATGATGGTTAATTTCATGAGCCTTATGTTATATGATGTAGATAATGATGGTTAATTTCATGGGTCTTATGTTATATGATGTAGATAATGATGGTTAATTTCATGAGCCTTATGTTATATGATGTAGATATTGATGGTTAATTTCAGGGGTCTTCATGTTATATGATGTAGATAATGATGGTTAATTTCATGGGTCTTATGTTATATGATGTAGATAATGATGCTTAATTTCAGGGCTGTTTATGTTACAAATATGATATAGATAATGATGCTTAATTTCATGGGCCTTCATGTTATATGATGTAGATAATGATGCTTAATTTCATGGTCGTTCATGTTATATGATGTAGATAATGATGCTCAATTTCATGGGTCAATTTCATGAGCCTTATGTTATAATGATGTAGTTAACAATGGTTAATTTCATGGGCCTTATGTTAGTTATATGATGTAGATAATGATGGTTAATTTCATGGGCCTTCATGTTATATGATGTAGATAATGATGGTTAATTTCATGGGTCTTCATGTTATATGATGTAGATAATGATGGTTAATTTCATGGGTCTTATGTTATATGATGTAGATATTGATGGTTAATTTCATGGGTCTTCATGTTATATGATGTAGATATTGATGGTTAATTTCACGGGTCTTCATGTTATATGATGTAGATAATGATTGTTAATTTCATGGGTCTTATGTTATATGATGTAAATAATGATGGTTATATAACTAAAACTGAAATGATAGCTATAGTTGATGCTATATACTGTATGGTAGGTAATCTATTAGATTTGCCACAAGATGAAGATACACCTGAAAAAAGAGTCAATAAAATATTTGATCAGTTAGATGTGGTAAGTTGATTATCCATAATGTATTATGTTGAATAACCAGGTGAAATTGTTTAAAAATAACTTTTATATTATCTGGTGAGGGAAATATCCTACTATGGGTACTGCTGTATGCAGTAAGGACTGAGTCATACATTATATTTTCTGTTATCAAATTGTTCACTTTATTCACTCTTTGCATAGTAACATAGTCTGGTAATGAACTAGCATGACAAATTTGTAACTACAAAAACCAAGTGAAAGAGGAAACTTAAAGGCTCTTCAAAAATCTAATAACCCCTACCTGTACCCAAATTGTATTGTGAAGATGATGGTGCATACTAGGGATGGACGCACACTGATCTATTTTTGCATTTTGTAGGCCCAATAGTTCCTTAATGAAGTCATTTAATGTTCAGACCAAAGCAGTGGAGAGCTTTGTGAACCTGGTTATTAATCACATTTATCTATTATTTCTAGAATCATGATGGCAGATTAAGTAGAGAAGAATTTCGTGAAGGTTCAAAGTGTGATCCATGGATCGTTCAAGCTTTATCAATGGAATTATCTTAGTAATAATTGTGAACTCTATAAAGTTAGCCTTCATACAGACCTTTAATGTGCAGGATTTCAAATCTTCAGCCATTGAGTCATCAAGGCCTAAACCTTGTACATGGAAAGAACTTTTATTTAAGGTCAATAGAAAATTGAATTGTCCATAGGTGGTAGTCTGAATCTTTACATCGCCATGGCAACAATGTGAAATAATAACATGAATTACTAGTATAAACTCAGTTCTTACTTCCTATTTATAGATAGATAAGTAAACAATGAACTTAGCGGCTGTGTGGGCATAAGTCCTTTTGAATGACATCTCATTTTTGTTACCTTACCCTTTGTGTTCAAT